GACGAGTCAAGGCCATTTGTCCGGCGTGGCAACTGCCTCATGGAGATTACCGCCTTGCTGATGCTTTTGTCATTTTGGCTTGGCAACGTTTGTGTTCTTGAGCAGCCGCTCAACTCTGTCATGCCACGTGCGCCGTCATTGTCACATGCGCTGGCGTTCATACAAGCCAACAAGTATGTGACCTACATTGGGGCATTTGGCGGTGGGACCACAAAGCCTTTGCAGATCTGGAGCAGTCACAGCTTCCTGCTCAATTGTGCGCTCCAGGCCTGAGTCTACTGGTCTGTGTCTTGCCACACGTGATGGCCATGGCCGATTTACAGGTGTCAAAGGATTGCTGCAAGACAGCAGTGCCTACACCTGCCAGTTTGGGGCTGCAGTTGCTTGTGCGTTTCTGCGCAGCCGCACCCATGGCTAGTAAATTCTGTCATGTGTACAGGTTGGTTAGGTGCAACGAATGATGCCGAGTCATTCATTGTGTTGCAGCCAGGGGGACGGGGAACAAAAGACAAGCGGCAGCAGGGTCACATGACTACAGCTTGTTGCAGCTATAATGTGTTTCTTGCGTGTGACAGTTTAGACCAGCGCTGACCGAGGTCTACTGCGGCACCCAATGTGTGCTGGCCTTATTGTCATAGCCGTCACTATTCAGAGAGTTGTGTGCAATGTGTTTGTGATGGTTTTGCTGCTGGCCCAGGCTGACAGTGGATGCTGCAGACCTTGTGGGATGACTCCTGCATGGCCTTGGCCAGTGTGTGCAACTGTCTGTTGGCTATGAGCCATGTCATTGTTGTCATGTGTCATGTTAAAGTAGCTATCTCACACAGGGCCTAATTCTTAGAGCATAACACCTACATTGAGCAAGCAATACGCAACAATCACTATGGAAGTCCACTACTTTAGGAGTGCTGGGCCGGCCTCAGCCCTCAAAAATTATGTGAAACCACCAGAAAAGTGACAATTATGAAACCCTCTCATAGACTAAAGTGTATTCATGTGTGCACGCAATTTTTTTCAAAGGTCATGGATCTAAACCCCATGGATCCAGCCACCAACATGCAGTTACTGATTGTAGAGGACTCAGCATAAACACAAGACTTCTGCGCGTGTCTAACTCTACAGGAGCCTGCGTAGGCTATACCCACAACTTGTGCAAAGTGAAACGCTATGCGTCAAAAGGATGATGACAGGCATGAGCCCGCCAACCGTGATGGGCTGCTACCGAAACGTATGGTTTGCCAAATGGAGCTCAGATGACCCCTGCCAGCGGGTCAGCGCAACTAGCAAATGCAGTTTTCACTTGCGGCCTGAGATATGGGAGGGTATATATGCTAAGGCGCAGCTCACTTCTTTGCCCTCTTAGAGGGTCTACTGGAGGCCTGCTCCACTTGCGTATCTATAATGAGCTCCTCGCCTTTGTGCAAAAGGACCGTGTTCCTGTACATTGGAATGCCATAGCCTGCACTCTTATGAACAGAAGCCTGCATGTTGCCACCTTCCTTTGCACTTTTCAGCACAAAGAATGGGACAAACATGCCACAGCCAGCCTTGAAATCATGCCTGCCTGGCACTATAGTGAAGACACACGGCTCAGGCTGCTTTGGTGCAGATAAAACGCAGGTGGCTTTGCCAAGCTTGGATTCTTCCAGTGGCTGGATGAGGCCACAGGCAAGAAGCTTCAACTCGCCCTTCTTGAAGGTCCGGCTAGCATACAGCTGGCCAGCAGTGGTGACCTTGAGATCTGGGTCACCAATCCTCAGGATTGCTATTTGCTTCTCAAGAGGTGGAATGTGATTCTGGCAAGGACAAAGCAGTGCTACAAATGCACCTAAATGCAGCCTGAGAATCTCCATGAAAGCGTCATAGACAACCTTTTGAGCGGCGAGCTTTTCGAGCTCCAAGTCCAAGTGCCCGTTGTGACAGCCTTTCATGCTGTCAAGAAGGCTTTGCTCGACGAGAACCGGCTCTTTCGCATTGGTGGCCTTCCAGTGCTTCAAGTGGTCATGTTCAACTTCAAGCACTTCTTGAGGCCCAAACAAAGGCTGGTGCATGAACTTGCCGGTGGAGTCCTTCATTTCCAGGAACTTGAAGATCTTGCTGGGAAAGTCCTTGTTGATGTACTGCTTGCCTACTTCAATGTGGCGGTTCAGCTTCAGGGCAATGCAGACAGCATTGCTGGTATCCTGTCAAGCTTTCACGAGCGCACGCAACGCAGAGCCAACGATTGATTCATGAGCCTTGCCAGGCTAAGCGCTTCCCGTGATATCGCCGTGAGCCTTCGAGGCTGGCTTCTTCAAATGAGCCTGTCAAGGCTGACTGAACTGTTTGTGTTTGTGGCCATCAAGCACAAGCTTGTCAAGGCAGGCTTTCTAAACTGAGGCTGCCAAGACTACTAAACTGCGGTTTTCGACTGGCATTCACAAAGCCGCCATTTCAAGCTCAAAGCAAACCAACGGTGTTTGATGCGCGGACAGGCCTGCAGGGCGACAAGTCCATCCTCGGCCACATTAGAAGGAGCAGATGCAGCAGCTGTGCTGCTAGCGCTCCCAGACTGCATTGCTGCAAGCTCTGCAAGGAAAGCAGAATTGATGTCACTCATGCTCTCATAGACATGCTTTTCCTTACCCTTGCCGGACTTGTTGCAAAGCAACAGGGCTGTGCGCACCAAATATCGACCCATCAAGGTAATTCCGGCATTTTGCGACGCCAAGCCAGCTTTCTGCAAGGAAGACCATGCCAGGTCACACAGACCCTCAGCAGACCTGAGCTCTGCCCTGATGCCTTGCTGTCGAAGCTTGTCGAGATCGGTTTTCACAATCATCCTGCCAATGCTGTCGACAGCCTTGGGGCTGGTCAAGTTGGCAGCAATGCATCCAGCCCTGACCCAGGGGAAGGTAGTCTGCTTGTCCTTCCAGTCGATGTTGCTGATGTGCTCCATGAACTCCTGGCCGAGCATGAGCTTGGAGCCGTATAGCTTGCCTGCAGTGGCAACATGTGCAACATTCCATACATTGCTTAGTACGACACCTGTATCGAAGCATGAAAAATGTTTCAGAATTCAGGCAAGTAACAAATGCAATCCAACACGTGGATGACCGGGAAGCTTGGGCCTCCAGCGTAGTTCTTCACATAATGCGCGATGCTGTCCAGGTAGTGGGCACACATTGGCTGGCTTGCCAAAGTCATGGAAACCGCTTGATTCAAATCTTTGCATTGCTTGTACCAAAAAGCAATCTGCATTGCAGCCTCCATCTCGGTGATCTGAGACGCCAGCGCGTGCCCTGAGTTCTGAGCTTGCTGGATCAAAGCTGGCAAGTCACTGAACTGCGCCTCAACCTCTTGCTTGATGACCTTCCAAGCCCAGCCACGCTTGACCATCTGTGTGAAAGGGTGGCTTTCCACAGCCAAGGAGCTGTTGGACAGCAAGGCATCCAAGCTCAAATGCCCGTTGGGGCAAGACTTCAACAGGTCTGGGTCTTCTGTGCCGCGGCAATGCAAAACCGACTTGCAAAAGCTGACAGTGTGGCTGCCAGACACAGACAAGTATCTTTCTGCGCCTGTCACAGGGGCCAACTTGCCCTGGCTCTGAGCAACCAAATCCATGTTGGCTTGCAGTTGCTGGCTTCGCTGGCCGGCGTCTGCAGCTGTCTCAAAGCAGATGCAGCTGTCCAGCTTTGATAGATCTACGCCGGCCTTGAGCATCATGTTGCCCTTGCGATGGACTTCTCCAAACACAAGCATAGTGCCAGCTCTGTTTTGAGGGTGCACCAGCACCTGGTCACAGTGCAGATGCATCTGCTGCATGAGGCTATGCTTCTGCAACAGGTCCATGATCTTTGACACTTTGACATTCAATTCTAGCTTTTCATCTTCTTTCAACTTCTTCAACTCAGAAGCAACTGAGCTGTCCATGGCTCGGACAAGGGAATGTGAGCAAAGTTCACTGCAAAGTTGCCACAACCTCTGCCTGCATGTGCGTGGATTGCATGGCATGCGTGGTGACCTCTGATCTATTATGACCCGAGATGCACACAACAGGGCGAGCAAAATCTTGCAGCCAGCTGGAGGGTGTGATTAAACGTTGCAACGTACAACTTTTACATGAGCCTACCCAGGCTGCGCTCGCATGAGCCTATGCCAGGCTGGCAACTTGCAAGGCCAAATAACAGCACACATGTTTATGGCTGACATGAACATGTGAGATGCTACCAATACTTTGGAAAGAGAACACCGTGCCAAAAAAATGTGAGCCTTCAAAGGCTATCAGTCTGTCTTAAAAGCCTTTGAGGCTAAAATATATATATCCGTGAAGAACCAAAAGTGAGCAAACAACAGGCATCCAATAGCTGCAAATAGCACAGTCAGCCAAATGCATGCGCGCAGCCACTCATGCTGACAGGACAAGTGTACAAGGCTGTTTGCAAGCCAGCCTTCCAAGAGTCTCAAGCCACACTTGGTCATGGACGCACTTCGAGACAAAGCTGAACGTGGAACATTTAGCCACGCATGGCTTCTTTATCCACATCGACTGAGGAAAACTGTGAAAAATGCTCCTGGCAGTAATGAGACACGCTGTGCCGCTTGGGTGTCCAAGAAACTGTTTGCTCCAAAGTGCTCACGGCCTGCCTGTACAACATTTATGATTTTCTTGGAGTGAAAATAAGCTTAAGTTCATGTGCTTGCATGTGGCAAGCGGACTAGCGCACTTAGCTAACCATTAGCCTAGCCATCTGTAAGCTAACGTAAATCATTCTGTTGTTTATCATAGTTAGTTAAATGTTAAGGAAACATTGTATGCTTGTACAAGCAAGTACCCACAGTATAGCTACTTAAGAGGCATTTAGCAGACATATAGCATGCGTTTAGTAGTCACCTTCTAGTTCTACTTAAAACTCATACAGCCTAGCAACGCCGCAGCCGATCCAAGTAGGATTGTTGGTCAAACCGAGTTGGCATCGGTCAGACCCAAGGTAGGCGTCGCGGAGTCTAAGTGCTGCAAGGTGCACAAGTTGCCTGTCACTGAGAAGCGGCCCAAGCCTCCGCGAGAAGGTCCGGGCACGTGCGCCCCCTCAACTTGCTGGTCTCAGCAGGGAATGAGGGAATGCCCCCTACCATCTATTCTGGTTTCCTTCAAGGCCAGTTTTTTTCTCTTTGCTTTTTTCGGTTCATTCCCAACACCCGGACTTGGTCTTCCTGGTCCCTTTTTTTGCTGGATTCGTCACACATTTGAGCAGTGAGCCATGGACAATCTTACCAGTTGTTTTTCTATTGGTTTGGCAAATTGATGCATCTCGATTTTGGGTGATTGCTGGGTTTTGGGTGGCCCTCGATTCTTCTGGTCGCACTCTGGGACCAAGGCATCCAAAACTCGTGCTTTGATTTGTTTGGGCATCACATGAAGACACTTGGTGTGCAATCAAAACACGGGTAGGTGAAGGTCAGGAGGCTCGTGATAAAAAGAAACAAATTGACGATTGTTTGTTTGATGTTGAAATGCGTGGTTTGTCAGCTGGCTGGGCTGAAATCATCCAAGCTGCAACTGGTTGGCGTTTCTGAGATCTGTTTTTTGCTTACATACTGCTAGCCTTTGGGCAAACGCTGAGGTAGTTGTTTTGAAATATGAAGTGTTTAAGTGAAGATGACAAGGAATGTCTTGCTTCAAGAGTTGCGGCTCAGTATGAATAGGAGCTCCCATGTTGGTCCTTGCTTCCCCAATGAACAAAGTATATTTGGGTTTCCAACCCTACGGTTTGCCCGCAAGTGCCTTCTTGGGCAGTTTAAAGATTCGACCCTTGAAAAGCAGGCTTGATGCTTTGTTGCTATTGGGTTGGATCTTTAGACTTTAACTTGTTGGCTGAAGTCAAGTAGCCCCCAAAAAGTCATGCTATTTACACAGATTTCGACAGCAAGCGCGATGCTCGCTTTTGGTTGCGGTTCCGGTTGGCGCCGCTTGGGCCAAAAAACGTCCATGGGTGCCAAAGTGCGAAAACCGGCGCAGCGAAAACCGCGCAGGTATATTTTCTCCAATGGGGACGAGTACCATGGAGAGTTCCGGCGCAGCATGCGGCACGGCTCCGGCGTGTACGTCAGCCACAGGACGAGTGTTGACGCGGGACGGGGCTGGGCTACAGGTGCGGCTGGAGATTGAGCTATGGAAGGTTGCCCTAGCGTTTCCCACAAGTCTAGAAAACGGTTTGGATGTGGCTTTCGTGGAACCACCGCTTTAGGATATTAAAAGAGTACTAAAAGAGTACCAAAAAGGAACCTGCAAGGGGAAAAACAGGTGAATTCCACAAACAGCGCATCCAAACCGTTCTCAAGAACAAGAGGCTTCAACAATTGATTCTGAACCCGGGAACACGAATGCCCAACCCCGACCAACGAATTGATCCCCACCCCAATTTCCGAGGAAACCTTCTTGGGTCCCATGTCTCTCATCGCTTGTGTCTCTCTCATCGCTTGTGTCGACCCTGAACGCCCGGATTGGTTTTCCCAAGTTGATCGATTGGATGGCATCAGTGGGCTCCACATTCCGCCTTTGGAAGGGCTAAGGCAATTGTTTGATGACCCGAAAAAACCCTTATTCCAGGTCCGTTGATTCAAATTAGAGTTTAAACACAATTTAATAGAGAATGAATCCAATCATTGATGAGAAATGAATCTGAATTAAAATGAGTCTATGTAAGAATGAATTCTCTTCAACCCCAGGCGAGCAGATGAAGATGATGGGTGTGTGTTTTTCTGTAAGAAAAAGCAAACCAATTATTTGTATTTGTTGGCTTTTAGCCTCCCAACGCCACAAAGGAGAAAACAAAAAAGACAAACACAAACACACAACCCCAGGTGTCCAACAAGCAGATGAAGACGATGTTTTTTTTTGGTTTTTATTTTAACCTCCCAAAAAATCAAGCACCGCCTGAGGCCTTGAACGAGCAGATGTGTTTCTTTTTGTTGTCTTTTTATTTGGGAGGGCGTTGTTTGTTTTGTTTTTTGTTTGAGTCAGTGTTTGATGAACAACGCAGCCCCTTGGGCGCCCCTTTGTTTGTTTTAAGGTCACAAGGAAACTCGTGGGATCCGAAATGGGATCGCCTGGCCTCAAATCCGAATTTCCATAATCCGCAGCTTGGCCATGTAAAGTTCAATTGGCAAAGGATCTCTGTCTAGAGTCTAAATGTAAGATGTAATTCGCAGTAGGATTCTGATCAAGTATTTTCTTATTGAGTCCCAATTAAATCCTTTCGAATTTCAATCTGAATTTTAAAGCGCGGCTGTTGGTGGAGATGTGAGTTGAGCACGAAAACCGCTACAAAACACTGTGTTTTACGGTGTTTTCTGACCATGGTAGTGCTGGGGCTTCTTTCATTGCAACTTAATAGCTTTATCAAATTTCTGACTGAAACTGAGTAGAAGTTTATAAGGACAGACTCCAATCATAAGTTCTATGTTCAAGTTGAAGTTGAATATTGATCAGTCTACTTCAAAATACACGTTACACAGGAGCATGCATAAGTTCTATCTTATTTCTATCTCACATTAAATGGATTTCAACAAGGGCAGCATTCAACCGTTTTTTGAATGATACTTTAATCAATGATGATTGCATGATAATATGAAGAAACACCCATGCTACACAGGATTTCCTTTCCGAACGAATCGGCTTTGCAAATCAGTGAACATTCAAACAACGTTAATTTCACAATTTTGGCACCTCAAAGTTATTTCTTATGAATTATTCTTAGTGTATGCATCGAGTTCAACTTAAATTCTTACTAAGACTAAGAAGAGTTAACTTAAGGAGCGAGTCCGATCAGAGGAAACAAACGCAGCCCCCAGCAATCTGAAAAACACAGCCCCCAGGAATTAAAAAGAAAAAACGCAGCCAGGACGACCTGCGCAATGGAAAAAATGGATGTTAAGTGAGAACCTACTCATTCCCACCCTGAAACAAATGGTGGTCATGACCGCAAAATCATGGGGTGACCCAGGGTGACCCCATTTTTGAGGCTCAGCGGCGCGGTTGCAACCAGTGGATTCCGCCCTCTTGTCTTTCTTTTTGGAAGGGTTCCGATTCCTTTAAACTCAGCCAACCAAAAAGGGCTGCCGATTCTTTTTCCCCACGGGAAATCCACTGGGCATCTGAGAGATGGAGCCCCATGCGCTCGCCAGGAATCACATGCAGTACGATGGCCAATGGTACCGTGACCGGCGTCATGGGACCGGGACCCTCACCATCGAAGGAGCCGGCAAGGTGCGCGCCGGTGACACTCGCAGGATGGTTTTGGCCGAACGGTCGCCTTCCGGTCGCCTTTTGGCTTGGCCCTTCCAATCATAAACGCTGACAGGAAGGAGGGTTTTCTTGCGATCGGTGGATTCGAGAGATGCAGGGAGTGAGACATGGCTCATGACCCTGGGAGAAAGAATCCGACTGGTGGTTTCCTTGAAGGGGACCCCCTTCCGCTTCATTATTTTTCTCATTCCCTACTTATTGCACCAGCAAGTAAGGTGACAGGGTGGTTCGATTCGCGAATTGCAAAAGGAGCTGGAGAAAAAAGAAAAACAAACATGTCTTGTGGGTATGTCCTCCTTTGAGGTTTTAAGAGGAACCCAGAAGTAAAGCCATCATTTTGGCGGGTGCTCGAATTCCAGTTTGTTCTATACGGACGGACAGCTGTTCCAACACTGTCGAGATCTCGCGCTCAGGTGCTGTACACCTACGACGGTCAGTGGCAAGCAGAGGCTTGGCTGCATAGCGGCCAGGCCAGAACCCTTTCGGGTGTCTTTTGTTTTAGGGGAGCCACGCATTCTCTAAGGGGGGTTGGTCCAAGGATTCCCTCAGGCTCCCTTTAAGGCTCCCCAAGGTTCCCTAAAGCTCCCGAAGGAAACCCAAGGAACCCAACGCTCTCTCAACCACCCACCTGCACCTACCCTCCTTCGGCATACCATGGTGTTGCTTTCATTATTTCTCCTTTACAACTCACAAAGAAAGGGTCAAAAAAGCAGGAGACACCTATGTAGAAGCATAAGAAGCGCTTTCGCGGAGTAGAGCGGCTTTACTGTGAAGGATCCCAATCGAGATTTCTAGCTCAGTGCTGAGTGAAATCGATGAATAGCTGTGTGGCACCAGTCCCAACCCCAGATGCTTGTTCCTTTCTTCTATTTGCTTAGCGGATTCGTGTTTTCTCTTTGTTGGCTGTAATAAGGATTTTTGATACTGGTATTTAGCGCATGTTTGATTGCTTTGTGGCACCTTGAGCAAATCATCAAGAGGCATGCCTGCATGTTCAGGCTACCTGGTACCTCCCTCCCCCCCCCCGCTCTGCTCTCTTAATCGCAAAGGACAGCTCACATGTCAAGAGTTGGCTGAAACTGGATGGCACTGTTTTTTTTAAGCGTGGCTGCACTCAATCGCTGCCATCTATTGTCTACCCATTGTACAATTGTATACCAGGCTCACTTCGGGGTAAACTTCACCATTTCACGCACCCATGGTAGTCCATCTGCAACGGCCAGAAGGGCCCCGCTGGAAGGGCCCCGCTGCGGTTCCAAACGCCCGAGGACAAGCGCCATGGCTCCGGAAGCTGCGTGAGATGCCACAAGGAGCGCCATCCGATCGAATCCATCGACCGAAGCTGTGGGTTTTCGGTTCTCCCCAGGAAAGTCTCACCCTGACTTGGACTTGAGAGTCACTTTTCGGAGTTTGGATCTAGATATAAAGGCTTCCATTTGCCGAAAGGAATGTTTGTTTCATTTTCCCCTGGTTTTTAAAGGGAATCGATTTCACTACCAGACATATTTTCTCATGTTTGCCAGACGGCAGTGTGCCCTTTGGAGCCTACTTTTAGTCAAGGTTCCAAAGGTGAGCGCCTTTGGCTTCCGACTGCAGTCGCAAGTGAGAAAAGCGAGTCGCCAAGTCTTGGGCAGCTCAATGCAAGGGCTCTGTCCGAGGGGTTAGGTCTCAGTTGCCCAAACCCGACCTTTTGACCTTTTGGTTTTCCTAGTTTGGTCCATTTTTAGTACAGGTCCCAAAAGGTTAACCTTTTGTTTCTGGGTCCTCTGGGCAACTGAGAGGTTCTTCAACCTCCGTGGATTCAGTGAAAGTGGATCCCTTGATTTATGCGGAAGTCCAAAGTCCAACGGCCCAACCTCAGGAGAAGTACTCCGGGCAATGGATGCAGAACCTCTACCACGGAGCCGCCACCTTAGGTGGAAAAAAAAAACATAAAGCCACAGAAGTGTGTGTTTTTTGGGTAGGGCTTCCCCGAAATGGTCCAGTTGTCCTTGGGGCTTTCCCTTCAAAACCACAGAAGGTTAGCCTCAACATGACACCCAGAATGCTGGTCTTCCTTTTGGCTTTCCCTCCTTTGAAAACCACCGACAACGGGAACTCTCCAAAAAAAGACAGCCCCGTAGCTCGCCCATCATGCTGAGATTCCTCACTGCACGGTTGCTTGCTTCCAGTTGGTAAATTGCTCCCAAAGTGCGGCGTTATGGTACGATCAACCACCCAGAATGGCGAGATGGCTTCACATGTGTGCCCTGGCACTAGTAGGCCTTTTTGTTTGAGGGTGGCAAGCATCAAGCCAGGATTTGGCACAAGCCGTGTGCGGGTTCCGAACAGATCCACATCATGATCCAGGAAGTGAACCGAACGAGTTTGGACCCTGTGTGTGTGTGTGTCTCTGTGTCTCTGTGTCTCTGTGTCTCTGTGTCTCTGTGTCTCTGTGTCTCTGTGTCTCTGTGTCTCTGTGTCTCTGTGTCTCTGTGTCTCTGTGTCTCTGTGTCTCTGTGTCTCTGTGTGTCTCTGTGTGTCTCTGTGTGTCTCTGTGTGTCTCTGTGTGTCTCTGTGTGTCTCTGTGTGTCTCTGTGTGTCTCTGTGTGTCTCTGTGTGTCTCTGTGTGTCTCTGTGTGTCTCTGTGTATCTCTGTGTGTCTCTGTGTGTCTCTGTGTGTCTCTGTGTGTCTCTGTGTGTCTCTGTGTGTCTCTGTGTGTCTCTGTGTGTCTCTGTGTGTCTCTGTGTGTCTCTGTGTGTCTGTGTGTCTCTGTGTGTCTCTGTGTGTCTCTGTGTGTCTCTGTGTCTCTGTGTCTCTCTGTGTCTCTCTGTGTCTCTCTGTGTCTCTCTGTGTCTCTCTGTGTCTCTCTGTGTCTCTCTGTGTCTCTCTGTGTCTCTCTGTGTCTCTCTGTGTCTCTCTGTGTCTCTCTGTGTCTCTCTGTGTCTCTCTGTGTCTCTCTGTGTCTCTCTGTGTCTCTCTGTGTCTCTCTGTGTCTCTCTGTGTCTCTCTGTGTCTCTCTGTGTCTCTCTGTGTCTCTCTGTGTCTCTCTGTGTCTCTCTGTGTCTCTCTGTGTCTCTCTGTGTCTCTCTGTGTCTCTCTGTGTCTCTCTGTGTCTCTCTGTGTCTCTCTGTGTCTCTCTGTGTCTCTCTGTGTCTCTCTGTGTCTCTCTGTGTCTCTCTGTGTCTCTCTGTGTCTCTCTGTGTCTCTCTGTCTCTGTGTGTCTCTCTGTGTCTCTCTGTGTCTCTCTGTCTCTCTGTGTCTCTCTGTGTCTCTCTGTGTCTCTCTGTGTCTCTCTGTGTCTCTCTGTGTCTCTCTGTGTCTCTCTGTGTCTCTCTGTGTCTCTCTGTGTCTCTCTGTGTGTCTCTCTGTGTCTCCCTCTGTGTCTCTCTGTGTCTCTCTGTGTCTCTCTGTGTCTCTCTGTGTCTCTCTGTGTCTCTCTGTGTCTCTCTCTGTGTCTCTCTGTGTCTCTCTGTGTCTCTCTGTGTCTCTCTGTGTCTCTCTGTGTCTCTCTGTGTCTCTCTGTGTCTCTCTGTGTCTCTCTGTGTCTCTCTGTGTCTCTCTGTGTCTCTCTGTGTCTCTCTGTGTCTCTCTGTGTCTCTCTCTGTGTCTCTCTCTGTGTCTCTCTCTGTGTCTCTCTGTGTCTCTCTCTGTGTCTCTCTGTGTCTCTCTCTGTGTCTCTCTGTGTCTCTCTCTGTGTGTCTCTGTGTGTGTCTCTCTGTGTCTCTCTGTGTCTCTCTGTGTCTCTCTGTGTCTCTCTGTGTCTCTCTGTGTCTCTCTGTGTCTCTCTGTGTCTCTCTGTGTCTCTCTCTCTGTGTCTCTCTGTGTCTCTCTGTGTCTCTCTGTGTCTCTCTGTGTCTCTCTGTGTCTCTCTGTGTCTCTCTGTGTCTCTCTGTGTCTCTCTGTGTCTCTCTGTGTCTCTCTGTGTCTCTCTGTGTCTCTCTGTGTCTCTCTGTGTCTCTCTGTGTCTCTCTGTGTCTCTCTGTGTCTCTCTGTGTCTCTCTGTGTCTCTCTGTGTCTCTCTGTGTCTCTCTGTGTCTCTCTGTGTGTGTCTCTCTGTGTCTCTCTGTGTCTCTCTGTGTCTCTCTGTGTCTCTCTGTGTCTCTCTGTGTCTCTCTGTGTCTCTCTGTGTCTCTCTGTGTCTCTCTGTGTCTCTCTGTGTCTCTCTGTGTCTCTCTGTGTCTCTCTGTGTCTCTCTGTGTCTCTCTGTGTCTCTCTGTGTCTCTCTGTGTCTCTCTGTGTCTCTCTGTGTGTGTCTCTGTGTGTCTCTGTGTGTCTCTGTGTGTCTCTGTGTGTCTCTGTGTGTCTCTGTGTGTCTCTGTGTGTCTCTGTGTGTCTCTGTGTGTCTCTGTGTGTCTCTGTGTGTCTCTGTGTGTCTCTGTGTGTCTCTGTGTGTCTCTGTGTGTCTCTGTGTGTCTCTGTGTGTCTCTGTGTGTCTCTGTGTGTCTCTGTGTCTCTGTGTCTCTGTGTCTCTGTGTCTCTGTGTCTCTGTGTCTCTGTGTCTCTGTGTCTCTGTGTCTCTGTGTCTCTGTGTCTCTGTGTCTCTGTGTCTCTGTGTCTCTGTGTCTCTGTGTCTCTGTGTCTCTGTGTCTCTGTGTCTCTGTGTCTCTGTGTCTCTGTGTCTCTGTGTCTCTGTGTCTCTGTGTCTCTGTGTCTCTGTGTCTGTGTGTCTGTGTGTCTGTGTGTCTGTGTGTCTGTGTGTCTGTGTGTCTGTGTCTGTGTCTGTGTCTGTGTGTGTGTGTTTTTGGAGGGTACCCGTATGGGATGGGTTGAAAGGGAAAGCACATGGAAAGCCACCTGTCTTGGGGTACCCCTAATTTGATGCATACCTATACGGGTTCGTACGTTCTATGAAGCGGTGTCAGTGGATTGGGGCGCGTGGTTCCCAAATCAATAATGATCCCAGATCAAGACACCGGGCGGCTAGAACCAACAGTGAAGGCTCGACATCCCCCTAAGAGTTATGAATCAAAGTATTGAACTGCCCGTAGTGGTGTGTTGGCTTTGGTACGTTGCACGAGGGCAATGCAATCCCCCTGAACAGCATAGTCCCCTACTGCCAATTTTTAGGCAGTGGGATTTCTTTAGATTTGTTAGATTTTGAACTTCATAGGAGGACCAGAGGCTGAAAACCAGATTCTTAAACAGGGGTCCGGTTGGCCCCGGCCTGGTCTGTGACACTCCTTGCCAGACTCTTGGTTGTAGGACTGGCTGATGGCTTCCCTCGAATTGGTGGTTTGGATGGGTGGTTTGGAGGTGGTTTGCCAATTACCCTCCAAAGGGGTTTAAGTCCCCACAAGTCCCCAAACTACCAAAAGGTTATCTGGGTGAGGCTGGCACCTACGTGGATGAGAAGGGGTCTTTGTACGAGGGCGAGTGGTATGCCGGACCGCTTCTCAGTGCCGGTGGAAACCATCCACAGTCAGCCGCTGCGTTCGCTGTCAGTATTCCCACCCAACGACTTGCGTGATTATAGTTTCTCTTTAGATAGTTGTTTTTCTTCTTTTTTTTCTTCTGGAGTTTGTTGTTGATTTCGCTCATTCTGAATAACTTCTCCTGAGAGGGTGTGTCATTTTTTGAGGGTACCCTAATTCGACCAAAAGGAGTTGCAAGTCAGAACCGTTTTGTGGGGCTCGCAAAGTTGCTGTAGGGAGTGTCCATTTAAACCGTCAAGGACAGAAAGTTTGAGGATGCCGCTTTAATGAGTCAAGGTTGATTAGTCTTTGGGATGAATACCCTTCCAACATGGCACCTGACATGGGGATAGCCTCCCACCCGTTTTCAAAGGAACCTAACACTACCGGACATATGTTCTTGCTTTCCAGAAGACTTAAAGCGGGGGTTAGTTGGATATCTTTTGAAATCGCAGACCCCGTGGATTGCTTCCTCTATTTGTTGGGGAGGGAGGGGTTGCCCTCGAAAGTCAACTCATGTTGACCCCATATCTATGTAGAACCCGTCCGTTTTTTAGGGGGATGGCAGGCCCCTCCAAACTTGATGTATCAAAGACGACGTGCCGCCGATCAACGGTGTTTTTAATCATGGAAATCCACTGGGTTTGGTTGAGTCAGGCGCCTTTTTGTCCTTTTTCAGTCATGTGTCAGGTGCCTTTTTGTCCGATCAACCTGGTTTTTGCTGCTGGAAATCCACTGGGTTGATCGTTGAGTCCGGTGCTTTCCATTTTTGTTTCTATGGGGTCCGAACTCCGAGTCAGGTGCCTTCCTTTTTGGAGCCCATGGGCTCGGAATTGTCAACAGTCGGTTTTGTTTTCCGTCCAGAGGCAAGTTCCACGGCGTGGGCAAGCACGTCTGCAACGGGGAGACCTACACCGGGAGCTTCGTGGCTGGGGCCTCGGATTCGGCAGAACCAGCTGGTTGGAAGGCACGGCGCCAAACGGAGCCGTTTCGGGAACCCAACTCCACCCCTCAAAAAAAGGGAATTTCGGGGGAGAGGGGGTGATTTCTGGAGATCTCCATTTGTGACAATCGATGTCCCTTTGTATGGGGAAGACTAGAGACAAGTAGGCCACCACACAGTGAGAAATTGTGGCGGCTTGGCGACAGTGCTGGCTGAAACCTGCTTTCCAAAGAGGCCGGCGAGCGCCACGGTATGGGACAGCTGGCGAAAAGCAGCGAGTCGCTCGAGGGCATCGAGGACTGACCCTCCAGAGAAGGGGCGAGGGTCCCATTGAAGGGAAGCCAAGACCAATCCCTTAAAGGGTCTTTAAGCAGCCTATCCCGTAAAGGGTGCTCGCTCCCTGAGTTCCCGAACTTTAAACTTTTTGGGAAGACCAGTTTAGTGGTGAACACAAAGTTTGGACTTTTTCTGGCCAATCAACTCAGGAAGTGAGGGTGTTTAAGACCCCATTAACGGGGAGAGGAGGTTGTGCTAAGCAAAAGTGGTACGGGGTGTCCGTAAAGGGGTCCCGGATAAAAAGATACATCCAAAAACCAACCTAAAAGCGGCCCAGACGTATCCTTCAAGGACCCTGTTTAGACATGCTTAAACAGGCGGTCAGTTTCGAAGACATGCTGTGCAGCCATGGTAAACTGACTAAACTGTTCACTGGCTGGTTTCTTCATCTAAGTCTCCATGTTGCCTGCCTTTTCTTGCTGTTCAATAGGTAGGGAATGAGGGAATGAACCGAGACTTTGGTCTTTGAACAAAGGACACCACCAGTTGGATGGTTTATCTTGGTCATTCCATTTCTCATTCCCCACGTATCGCACCAGCATGTTTTTGCCAAATCTTGCCATGATTTGGCGTGCCTGCCTGCCTGCACAGCCATTCTGCTGATGAATTGGCTGTGACTCGCCGAGTTTCACAGTTAGCCCGTGCTAATTCTTCCCCCGAATTCAGAGTGGATCAAGCGGGCGTCAGGGGCTGCCTCAACCGAAAAGTGATCCAGTTCCCCTTCAAAGTTGGACACTTTGCTTTGCTCGCCCAGTTGCGGGTCCCAAACAACTTGCGACCGGTGCGATAGGTAGGGTACGAGAAATGGAATGTCTTTGCCACCAGTTTTTCGACGGTTTATCTTGGGGGTCATGCGCCATTTCTCATTCCCTGCATCTCTCGAATCCAGCGATCGCACGCGAGGACTTCCTCGGGCTTGAAAGTCTCTACGCAGGGCAGTGGTCATCGCCTCAGCCTGGGGTGTCCGAAACCCCACCGGTACGGTTTCCGTTTTTGTTTCTTTTTGTTTGGGGGGGGTGCCTGCAGTTTGCGAAACCCCACTGGTACGGTTTCCTTTTTTTTTGAGGGGGGGGGGGGTGCCTGCAGTTTGCGAAACCCCACTGGTACGGTTTCCTTTTTTTTTTGAGGGGGGGGGGAGCCTGCAGTTTGCGAAACCCCACTGGTACGGTTTCCTTTTTTTTTTTTGAGGGGGGGGGAGCCTGCAGTTTGCGAAACCCCACCGGTACGGTTTCCGATTTTTTTTTGGGGGGGGAGCCTGCAGTTTGCGAAACCCCACCGGTACGGTTTCCGTTTTTTTGTTTGTTTTTTTTGGGGGGGAGCCTGCAGTTTGCGAAACCCCACCAGATCCCACCGGTACGGTTTCCGTTTGTTTGTGTTTTTTTGGGGGGGAGCCTGCAGTTTGCGAAACCCCACCGGTGCAGTGTCCGTTCTTTCTTTTTTGTTGGGGGGGAGCCTGCAGTTTGTGAAACCCCACCGGTAATTACTGTTTCCGTTTTTGTTTTGTCTTTTTTTTGGGGGGGAGGATACGGCTTGGGAAAGCAGTCGAAAGCATGGGTTGAGCTGAGTTTAATGATTCGAATTTCTTGTAAAGTACCCTTCTTCCCACTAACGTGGCACCTGTGGGAAGGTTCCGCTGTCGGGTGCCATGTTCGTAGGAGGAAGGGTGGGTGGTGTTTGGGATGGTATCCTTCAAGGAGCCCTTTGGGTACCCATTCTTTCGCGTGAATTGCGGATATGCCTCGCACGTGGTTGGGCCCTTCCCTATGAAAAGTAAGGCCGAGGTTTTTGCTTTGCCCCTGCGCAAAGTAATGCGAACCTCAGATCAATCTGGAGGATCATAATCCCTGAAAGCTCACTCCCTGAGTTCCGATTCGGACTTTGAAAACTTTTTTGGGCTTGGACCCTTTGAGTGGTAAAGAAGAAGTTTGGACTTTTGGCCAATCCACTCAGGAAGTGAGACAAGAAAATAGTTTCCCTTACTAAATGTGCAACCGCCCCTGATTCTCACAGTCCTCCGGATTGATCCGGAGTTCAACGATACAAGGCTTGACCGCAGAAGTGGTCCTTGCCCCAAACAGAGACTCCTCATGGGCAGGCATTCGGGTCCCGAATCGCCGGAATCCGAGGGATTGGATAAGCTTTCCGAAACCTCCTGGGTTTGGGGACCTTCGGGTTTCTCAACGTGCCGAAGACCACGAGGGCAAAGGGCAGCTGCTAACCGGCTGCCCTTTGCCAATACCCGAAGAACACACAGCTCAGTTGCCATGTGAGCAATGGGGGTTCTGATGCCGCCTGTATGCCACCAAGACTACTTGTTGCTCGCTCAAGTTCCTGATTTTATACGTTTCACACAATTTGAGTGGGAAATCAGGATTTGTGTTGAAAATCCACTCGGGAAGTGGAAACCATCCTGGGCAAAGATCATACTTGTCAGTGTTTGCCAACCCCCGTTGGATTGCCCAGGCGTGCAGGGCAGAAGCACGGCCAAGGCCATGAGGGAGACGGGTGCTAGCCATCCCTTGGTGCAGTCCAGACCAAGAACTCCCCCCCCCCCAGTCAGGCTCCATGTTGGGCGGATCACTGATTATCGTGTCCGTGAGCGGCCAGCTCGGGCGTGTTTCTCATGCAATTCTTTGGTGCGTGGGCTGCAGGGCCATGTGCTTTACATACTGTCGCAATGTGGGTCGTGTGTTTCTGCACAGCAATCTTTTCCGCTGTTGGTTTAAGGGTAAATCAGCAGAAAGCCAGCATGCGACACGCAGACACACAGACTCGGATTCATGTAGGGAACCTGTAGTGATTCAAGCCCGGCTCTGACATCTATCCTGGGCATCATGGGTCGCCCAAAGGCCCAACGCAGGGTGCTTTAAACACCGAATACACACATAAGATGCATCATATGAACGCATCTATTACGTCAATATCAATATGTTGTTCTATAAACATACGCGAAAACAGCCATAGACTTATATACACAATAGCGTGTATATATATATATTACATATGAAGTCTATGTAAGTACATATATTGCATATACGCTCAGGCACCACATAAAGAAATCTATACGGTATATATATATATATAATATACATAATATAATATATATATATGTATATGTATATATACTTATGCATGCATTTATATGTATTTGTATGTGCATGTGTATGAAGTAGTTGCCTGTTGGAGTGGAAGGCTAAGGCTACCACAAGAGAGAAAAGGTAGATCTTGGAGGGCCAAATTTAGTAACTATGCGCACATCTGCATTTGGAGACATGTAACCCCTTCAAGCTCTCAGCCACTAAGCTGGAAACAACCAGAAGGTCCCTTTTAAAGGGAGCAGGTTCTCTTTGGAACCTTTTTGTTTTTTCTTCGGGGTCCGAGCTGGCTCGTGGGTGGGTAACAAGTCGGGAGGCACCGCCATCTACACCATGGGCGAGTACGAGGGGGAGTGGGCCGGGGCCCCAGGGCCCCGCAGGCCCCGCAGGCCCGGCGAATGCCACACAAAGAATCTGAACTTCCATGTGCTGATTGACACATCACAACTGGGATTTATCTGCGCACTTAAAGTAATAAGCAAGAAAGATGTCATTGGCAATGATGCATAATAAGCAGAAAAAGCTATACAACAAATAGCCGAATTGAGTATTTTCTTTTAATTTTGCCCTGGTTTTGAAGGGAATCGATGACTACCGGCCATATTGAAGAAGGTTTTTTCTTCAGATGAAAAATAAATTGGAGGTCAAGGAGCCAACTTTCGAGTCACACGCCTGGAAAGACCTTGAGTTTGCCTCGTGGCGGTTTCCGTTTGGACACATCGTAGTCAAGGCTCCCACCCGCGTTCAGGTGGGCAATTCGCCGGAAATTTTCGCTCGAATCCGGCGGCTTCTTGGGTTTCGGATTTGCTTCGAGCGCTTCGCGAGACGGTCGATGCGCATCGACCCCGGATGAATCAACTGCAGATTGGATGAATCCACCCCGGCTTATTCATAGGCTTACCTCTTAAAAACACAACTTTTCAACTTTTTGGGGTAACATGGGCTATATGTCTGTGGAGTTTTAAGGGGTAAGCCCCTAGAGTGGCCTGATTCCAACCATTAAGCCCAGGGACACCTCCGATTGACATGGGGTCAACATTACTCGGCTCTGTCGAGACCTAACTCGACGCTCGGGTTGGAAGTTATGTGCCTTCAGCACGAGCTGACCTGGAGGCATAACGAGCGGACGCCATGATAAAGGTCCTTGACTTTAAGATCCAAATCTTAATCCGACTTTGGAATTATAAAGATTTGCAGGTGGTATGACTTGTGAGAGCCTAGGACTGGATGCCCCTCCGTCCAACATAAGAACAAGCTGGGGTTTGAGTTGGATGCTACGACTTCGCTATGAGGACTTATGGCTGGTCCTCCGTTTGGTTATTACATACAAACAAGTTGCAGTGGCAGCTTGGTGGCTTAGTTGCAACCCGTGGCGCTTGTGAGGGCTGGCCGAGTGGCTGACGGCGCATTGTACAACACCAGTTCCAGCATAGCCCGGGGCAAGGGGAGGAAACACATGTCAAGCCAATTTTTGCATGTCGTCCACTTTACTCCGTGTTGTTTGAGAAGAAAGAGGAGGGGAGTTAATTCAACCAGATCCACTTGTTCTTTTTGATATTCCTGCAGTTCACGAACATTCGAACATCTTCAAGGCGTCCCTGGATCTGATTTATGAGATGGGATTTCCGTGGTTGCCCAGCCAGCTCCAGATGTGTGTAAAACAATGTGGATGGTCCTGAAAGGGAACCAGCACGATGCACCAGCAATTTCGAGGGTCTGATTTGGCGTCTCGACACCCAATGGGAACCCTGGAATGATCGACCCTTGGTTCAACAAACAGCATTGAAAAGGGGACGCCTGGTTCAGTGCAGGGTTCCTGAGGCAAACACGGGCAAGGCAAGACATCTAGCAATATTGGAGGCTGACACATTAGTCCGTGAGGTTTGTAGATCGAGGTTGGCATTGCTCTAGACAAGCACTTTGGATGATTCACCCATCATCCTGCTGTTTGAACAATCTGTTGGCTCTCATGGTCTGTTGCGTGCTCCCGTTCCAATTGGAAGTGGCGGCGATTTGGGGTTGTGCGCCAGAGCAATGTCTGCTTGATGGTAGAATAGCCTCAAGCTCCACTGTTCTTGTTTCATGAATTTTAGTTTGTTCTTTAATTCTGTTCATTTTCTGTGGGCAGCTACAAAGAACAACGTTTGCTAGCCTTCCAAGAACTGGACGCCCTTTTGAATTTGTGGACATGGGGAAGAAGGAAGTTGACAACCGTCCTGTTGTGTACCCTTTTCAGCTCAGCTTACCAGGAATCCACCAGCAACTCCTCTTTTGTTTTGTGGGCAGGGAGGGCCATTTGGAGCGAAAGGGTGTCCACGTCTAGTGGCGAACAACATATCTTCAACATTTGCAACACTTCCCTTTGAATTTTCATGGTAAACCCTACAAAAACCCTCACATCTTTGAGCCAAATCTCACGCGCGTCCATACGGAGCCCATACGAGCTTACACGGAGCCCATACGGAGGATGTCTCAAAACCATGCAGTGTTGACCCCGAATGAATACCTGGCGGATGCTGCTTCCCGATTGTTGTTTCTTTTTCTAGGTCTCCCAGTAGTGCCCTTTTACTCTTTTTTTGGCGAGGGTTCCCCTACTAAAATAGACCACAGAAAAAAGGGTACGCTGATTCTATCCTCTCTACTTCCTAGTTTTACACCTTTGTCTCCCCTCGTTGCGCGGGGGGGGGGGGGGGGATCGAGGGGGGGAGTGACCCACCAATCAAGAATAGTTGCCAGCTATGAAGCATTGTTATACCTCCCATGGTTGTCAAGCATGATGGACACTAGAGTCACTAGAGTTTATTTTGCAACTTGTGTGATTAGGGTGTTGGCGGTTCTTGGCTGCACAAAAACGTCTAAGTGTCCATGGACCCCCCCCCCTGCAGACAAAAAAGCAGGCCCAGTGGCCCAGTGGGTCTAGAAGCATTGCTCAGGGAGCTATGGCAAGGGAGATAACGGTGCGGCAGCTGTCTGGGGCAGAGAAAACATTGGAAGTGCCGACAAACATGACCGTCCGCGACTTCAAGAGGCAGCTGCACGGGTGGCTGCCCTGCGAAGATGAATCAAAGCGCAACATGAGCTCGGTGGGGATTGTTGTTGCAGACAGGCCCCTGTTGAACAACGAGGAGCTGGTGTGTGAGGTCATTCCCGGTGCAGACGTGTTGGCATTCCTCAGCATTCAGTCGGTAAGGTGCTCAAGCTTCAAAACCTCCGCTTGCGCACTGGAAGACTTGCGCGTAGTGGAAATTCCTGCAGGAGGGCGGGTCGATGAAGATGCGTTCGCATGCTGCAGCTCATTGGTAAGCGTGACCATTCCCAACTCCGTGACTGAGATTGGATTATCTGCCTTTGAAGGTTGTAGCTCGTTGGCAAGCGTGACCATTCCCAACTCCGTGACTGAGATTGGACCATGTGCCTTTGAATGTTGTAGATCATTGGCAAACGTGACGATTCCCAACTCCGTGACTATGATTGGGGAATGTGCCTTTGCAGGTTGCAGCTCATTGGCAAGCGTCGCGATTCCCAACTCTGTGACTCAGATTGCACCATGTGCCTTTCAAGGCTGCACCGCATTGGCAAGCGTTATCATTCCCCACTCTGTGACTGAGATTAGGGAAGGTGCCTTTCAAGGCTGCAGCTCATTGGCAAGCGTGGCCATTCCCAACTCCGTGACTGAGATTCGACAACGTGCCTTTGAAGGTTGCAGCTCATTGGCAAGCGTGACCGTTCCCAACTCTGTGACCAGAATTGGAGAAGGTGCCTTCAAAGGCTGCAGCTCATTGGCAAGCATGACCATTCCCAACTCCGTGCTTGAGATTAGGCAAGGTGCCTTTCAAGGCTGCAGCTCATTGGCAAGCGTGACCATTCCCAATTCCGTGACTGAGATTGGAGCAGATGCCTTCAAACTCTGCCGCTCATTGGCAGGCGTGACCATTCCCAACTCCGTGACTGAGATTGGAATATCTGCCTTTGAAGGTTGCAGCTTACTGGCAGGCCTGACCATTCCTAATTGTGTGACTGAGATTGGACCATGTGCCTTTCAAGGCTGCACTGCAGTGGCAAGCGTTACCATTCCCAACTCTGTGACTGAGATTAGGGAAGGTGCCTTTCAAGGCTGCAGCTCATTGGCGAGCGTGACCATTCCCAGCTCCGTGACTGAGATTAGGGCAGGTGCCTTTAAAGGCTGCAGCTCATTGGCAAGCGTGACCATTCCGAACTCCATGACCATGATTAGACAATTTGACTTCGAAGGCTGCAGCTCATTGGCACCATTTCCAGCTCCGTGACGAGATTGGACCACGCGCCTTTCAGTGTCCAAGGCTGCAGCTCATATCTGACCGTCGCACATTTTGTGACTCGGATTGGCAGCGGTGCCTTGTGCGGCTGCAACTTTTTTGGGAGTCAGACAAGAAGGAATATGCCGAGTCGTGCGTCTTCGATTGGAGTTGGTGAAACAGTGTTCAACAACACAATGTGGCAGTGGCTCTCCCCGACCAGTTTGTAGAACAACACGTCCGGTTGGGTTCATAATTTTGAGACACCGCCCACGTTGCAGATTGCCAAAGCGCAGAAAGGGAGTTGGACTGATAGCGCGGGCCCTTGCTGGGAGATTCCATGGCCTTGCTAAGGAGGTTGGGATTCTAGGTCCCCCAGTAGTGCCCTTTTACCCTTTTTTGGGGAGGGACCCCCAACTAAAATAGACGACAAAAAAAAAGGTACCCTTATTCTAACCTCTCTACTGGAGGACCTAGGATTGTTTGATTCCGCCCTCTTGGGTATGTTGTCGGACCCCTCAGTCACCTTCACATGACCCAGGAAAGGCCAAACAACAAGGAACAAAATGGGTTTGCAATTTGTTGAATTCCTCCCCCCCCCCCCCGGCGCCCCCCCCCCGCCCCCCAATTTGTAAGGTGCCTGGAAAGGGTGCCTGCCCTTTGATTTGAGAGTGGGCCCCGCTTCCTTCCCATTTGCACATCCTGACGTCCAAACACAAGTTTGCAAACCCGCTTTCCATTTAAGAGCATGGGAAGGAATGTCATTTGTCAGAACCTCGCACCCTTTTCACCTGTCAGGTGAACGTGGAACCTGACAGGGAAAAATGGTCCTGGTTTGGACCATTTTCCTTAAGGACCATTTCCCTGTCAGGTTCCACGTCAATTGTTGGGAGGGTCACTGGTTGTTCACTCCCAGCCGAAAACGCCACGGGTGCCGACGGTTTTTTGAGGTCAACGGCCAGCGTCAGGGCCAAGCTGCCAGAGCCTCAGAGCACGGGGCAGCGGTCAGGTGACTGGAGTGCCATTTATGGTTCGTTGTCTGGTCCCCCAGCTATAGGTGCCCTTTTACCGTTTCATTTTCGGTTGGGAGGGTTCCCCTACGAAAATAGACTACAGAAAAAAGGGTACGAGCTTGTTCTAACCTCGTGTTGTCCCTTGGTTTGGAAGACTAGGGGTGACCCCTGGAGATCTCCATGCATGGTAACCCACTCCAACCCTTTCTGGTTGGAGGTAAGCCAGGTTGATGAAATTGGGTCTCGGACCCCAACTTGGCCCAATCGACTCGGGTTCGAAGGGGTCCCTTCGTTTTCACCCGAAAGTTCACAGCTGTCGGATCCATTTGGCCAACACATAGGTCACGGGAATACAGGTGCCTACTCCAAAACCAAACGCTCGAGCCCGTTGACTGCCTTTTCCCCCTCACCCCGAACAAACACAAAAAACCAGAGGAGCACAGCGCAGCACACAAAAATTCCCGAAATTGTCCAACTCAATCAAGAAACCCGGGTATGAGGGTTTTTTTGAGAGAATTTGTCCTACACATTCTAGGCTGGGGTGGGTTCTTTTATAGTTACAACAGTTACATGTTGTTCCCCTGTAGTTGCAGATGTGTTTTTAATCGTTTCAGGATCAGGTGATCCTTAGTTGGTGACCTCCAGCACCAAAAAAGCTTTTTTAGTTGCCCCAGGCCGACATTTGGCAGCAGCAACTTTGACTGGAATTTGTCCGTAGTTGGCCTACGTTGTGGGCGAATTTGGTTTGTAAGAGCCCTAGCGTTGGTTCCTCTAAAAAGCTCACTGCCTGAGTTCTTGGACTTTAAACTTTTGGGTTTGGACCAGTTTAGTGGTAACCAAACAGTTCGGTTTCTTTGGCCAATCTACTCGATCAGAAGTGAGAAGTAAATTCCTCAACCCATGAAGGGCAGCTCAACAAAACACCAACCTACCACAGGCATGCGACGTTTTGGGCCATAGAAACCGATCGATCGCGCGGCGATGTGGCGCAGGCCTTGTCGCAGGATGGCTACCACCTGGAAGGTCCTTGGGCCAGCAATCTGCCGGGGTCGGCCTGGCCTTGGGTTTCTCGTCGCACCGAGGCTCGGTCAAACATAAGGTGCTGGCACCGTGGAAGTAGGGACTATCACCTGCGGTGCCCTAGTGATTCCATTCTGACCCACAACCATATATTTTTAAGCCACACCTCTGATTTAAGGGCACTTTTCGAGCATGGGGTAGGCGCCTCTGTTTTCTACCTACTTATATATATATATATATACATATCCCAATGGCCCATCCAAGGCGGCATCAATTTGGGTAAATATATGTATATATATACATGTATATATAAAAAAAATACATACCAGGGTGCGCGCTAAAGGGCAAATGCAGGGAAGCTTCAAAGAACGCCTATGGGCCCCGCAAACAGCCAGGACGGGCACGCACATGATCTTCTACCCAGATGGCGCCAAGTACACAGGCCTGGAATTGTCAATTGTCGGTTGCGGATGAATGTCCGCTTAACGAGTTTGAATAAATCCATTGTGCCAATGGTGCTCGTGCTTCCGAAGAGGGTGATGTTTGGAGGGGGCATAGGGTTTACCCTGCCGATTTGCCCTCTTTGCAGGGTTTAAGATGCCACCCTGGCAGGTGTGATGCGTGTTTGCTTTCGGTTT